TATATATACTTCAGAGCCGGTTTGGGGTTGTGTGCCCTCTCAACCTCATGGTGTTTCCTGTTATTCATTAAATCGCTGATAGTCCCATTTATCTGCCAGAACCCGCCCACTTCCAGGGCTGGCCTTTTCCTTCCCTTTCCTTGTAAGTGTAAGGTCTGAGCCTTAGAAAGTTCTGACCAAACAAACTGTACTTGGTGTTCCTTTAAACATTAATGATATTGTTTAGAAAACATTTAACAAGCAAAGGCAACTTGTTTATTTCTGCCGTTAGGTCTTAAACTTGTCTGGCAAATTGTCAGCTCCTTAAAAGCAGAGGATGAAATCTTACTTTAGTCAGATCTGTGTCCCCAGATCATCGCCTACATCATTTAGCATATTTGGTCCCCAGCAGAGTAAGTGTTCAATGAAAGCATCCAAAGCACATGCCCTGTGAAGCACCCATAGTCCAGAAAATTCCCCGACTTCAGCAGTGCTATCTAACCCTAATAACACAGAGTTTTGTTTGTTTGTTGTGTTTTGTATATTTGATATCAGGCTGAAGTTCTGGTTGGTAGACTTTTATCACATTAGTTAGTTGAAAATAAAATAATTATACTGATTCTTTGTTACTTTTAGTTTTTACATATTTATTATAGCTTAAACTGTTTAAACTCATAGATTCAGGAGTCAGACTTTTGGGTTCTTCATTCTATTCTAGTGTTTTTCAAACTTATTTGACAGGGACACCATGAAAAATAGACCTTATATTGTAACCCAAGGGACACACACACACACACACCCCTGTATCTTGTGCCAAAAGAAGTCTTTCTCGAAAGGTCTTTTTTCAGTGCTCTGCGATGTTTTCTATTTCATTTTTAACCTACTGATTGAGATGAACTAAATTGAAGTTCATTCCTACAGAGTCCTGGGGGAATACCTGTCTATGTATTGCTCATTCAGCTAACATATTCAGTACTTACTATATACCATTTACTGTTCTCCACTTAACTAACTGGCTTTGTAACCTTGGGAAAGCCACAAGTTAATGTTCAGTTTCTTCTATGACATGCAGATAGAGTGATGCCTACCTCCAGGGAATACTGTAGGTTAGGTTAGATTAGAGGCGTAACAGTCGGGTACTCTGATTGACAGGCAATACGCGCTCCACTGTCGGTGCCTCCTGTGTTGTTTCTGCTGTTCTTATCATGACTAAAATAATTTTGGTTTGAACTTCCCATGTTTCTGGAATATATATATATTACATATAGCTTATATTACATATAACTTAATTTTCCCATTAGTGCTTACTATGTATTTTTATAGTTTTTAACTAGAGATATAATTTAGATACAGCGTAATGCAGCGGTCGCCAACCAGTGGTCCATGAGGTCCAAAAGATTGGCGACCGCTGGAGTAATGTACAGATCTTAAGTGGTCAGTTTAATAAACTTTGACAAATGCATACATCCATTTGACCTACACCCCTATAAAGACAGAAACATTCTCATTCTCATCATACCAAAAAGTAATCCTGTGCCCCTTCCTAGTCAGTTGTCTCCCTAGCCCCAGAGGCAACCACTATTCTGATTTTTTCACCATTGATTAGTTTTGCCTGTTAGGACACAATCACACAGAATGTATTCTTTTATATCTGGCTTTTTGGTTTTGTCTTGTTCGGTATAATAATTTTAAGGTTCATCATTATTGTTTTCAAGTTCATCAGTAACTCATTCCTTTTCATTGCTGAATAGTATTCTATTGTATGAATGCATCACATTTGTTCTATTGATTGATATTTAATTGTTTCCATTGGAACTAGTATGAGTAAAGCTGCTACGGATAATTGTGTAAAAGTCTTTTTGTGAATATATGTTTTCATTTCTTTGGGATAAATACTTAGAGGTGGAATTTCAGAAAGGCATTTTTCTAACTTTATGAGAAACTTCCAGATTAATTTCCAACGTAGTTACACCATTTATACTCCCACCAGCACTGTGTGAGTGTTCTAGTTGTTCCATATGCTCTCCAACATTTGATGTTGTCAACCTTTAGATTTTAGCTTTTCTCGTGTCTTATTACTGTTTTAATTTATACCTCCCTGTCACCAGTGAGGTGAGCACTCTGCCATGTGCTTTTTAGCCATTCCTATTTTATCCGCAGGTCTGTGATCCATCCCTGTTTTTTGTGTATGTTTCAAGGCAGGTGTCAACTCTCATTTTAAGAGATATATGATCTCCTGAACAAGAGGGATTAGGATCTAATGTATCATTTAAAATTATACTTAAAATCCTTGATTTATGTTCAGAGCATTTATTTATTCAGGACTAGTTGAATCCCTTCACACATTTTTTCCTCACCTGAAGAAGTTGTAGACTCAGGCCAGAAAATATAAATAATTTGCTTTAACCACATGTATAGGAATAGCCCCCCAAAACCTTCACACATTTATTTCCATTTTACCAGAAACTTTCATAGGACTCTGGAATTTGAATGTTGACGCAGCTACATTATGCTGTTTACCCATGTTCTTTTTCTATCAACAAGCAGCTCACCAGCTAGAAGTACCCCCCTGAAGCTATTTGTACTAAACTTCCAAAGAATTTAGTGCACTTGAGTCAAATACTAATAAATGATCATCCCTCCTTATGTAAATAATTGCTTTTATAAATATCTGTGGATGCCAACTGACTCCAGAAGTAATCTTTGAAGTGCATTCTATCCAGAGTCAGTTTGCTGAATGTATGAATTGCTGTTACCTTAAATGATTATACAAGTAAACCATAGATTTTACTAATAGCATAATAAAATATTGACCTCACAAAAAAGATGAGAGTAAGGAGAGGCTGAGACATCAGGAAAAAGACCGAAAAGTAAATATCAACTAAGTGTCTCGGGCTTCAGACATAATACAGGATACAGGAGGAAGAAAGAGGTGTGACAAGTGCTTTTCAGGTTGCTTACAATTTAGGCAGGAAGGAAAAAGATAAATGGGAAATGTTCAATCAATGCAAGAGATAAATACGAATTGACCACATGGACCCAGTTGGTTAGAGTGTCATCCCAATACTCCAAGGCTGCAGATTCGATCCCCGATCAGGGCATATGCAAGAATCAACCAATGAATGCATAAGTGGAACAGCATAAATAAGTGGAACAACAAATCTCTCTCTCTTTCTCTCAAAATCAATAAATAATTCTTTAAAATTTTTACTTTTAAAAAAAGTAAGAGGTTAATTTTCTATAAGAGTATAGATAATATTGGGAAGGAGAGAGGAGGTGACTGCTTCATGTGTCTTTTTGAAGTTGGTCATAAAAGCTGAAAGTTTTGGAGAGCAAGCATGACAGACGCTCTGGGTATTGTGTGGCTTATGTTAAGCTCTCAGTAGTGGTGTTTCATTCAGCCTGGGACAGTAAAAATAAATGAGTATAGATGACTAGTATGCCTTGTCTGCTGTAGTAATATCCTGTATAATTGAATCTGTCTAACCAGCCGATTATTTTCCTGTTGTCTGAAATTACAGAGCATTATGTTTTCTGACAATGTAGGAATTTCTGTGCAATTAAAGTGTATGTTATTGTTGAAATGAAAATAATGAAATTACAAGAAATTGATTCGTTTCAGCTGTATTACTGAATTCCTCCCCCCAAAAGGCAAATCAAGATCATTTATATATTTTTTATAAAATAGCTGAAATACCATTAAAGTATTAAACCTCAACCTTGACAGTTTTTCTTAAATTTTCACCTGAGATATAAATAGTGGTAGCATGGCCCAGCCAATGTGGCTCAGTGGAGGTCATGATTCGATTCCCTGTTAGAGCGCATGCCCAGGTTGCAGGCTCCATCCCCAATGTGAGGCGTGCAGGAGGAAGCCAATCAATGATTCTCTCTCATCATTGATGTTTCTATCTCCCTCTCCCTTCCTCTCTGAAATCGATAAAAATATATTTAGATGATAGATAGATAGATAGATAGATAGATAGATAGATAGATAGATAGAAGCATATTGAGTCACTCACCTTGTGGCAGCCAGCCTCCAAGTTGGCCCCCAGTGACCCCACCTCCTAATAGTCCCACCTTTATATATGGGTCCTCTCACATTTACCAGGGTCGGTCTGTGTGACCGATGAATACATCAGAAGTGATGGGATATCACTTTAAGATTGTTATAAACGACACTGGGACTTCCATCTTGATGTGTCTGTCTGTCTGTCTCTCGCATCACTTGCGCTGTGGGAAGCAGCACATGCGAGGAACCAAGGCCTGTGCCTACAGCCATGTGAGTAAGCTTGGAAATGGACCCACCAGCCCCAGCCCACCTGATGAGGTAGTGCTGGCCAACAGCTTGACTGCAACCTCCTGAGACACAGCCAGAACCACCCAGCCCAGCCCCTCCCAGGTTCCTGACCTTCAGAAACTATGAAATAAAAACAGTGTTTACTGTTTAAGCTGCTAAGTTTTGGGGTCATTGTTATGCAGGAATAGATGACCAATACACACCTCCACTAAAGCTCTTCTTTCATTCTTCAAATCTTAACATCTATTTTTTATTATTGTCATTGTTATTAGTTGTGCTATTACTAGTAAACCTGTCATCCATACAATTCGCCTGATTGAGGCATTAAATTGACTGAAAAATACTATATTCTGTCTCCCATTTTCCAATCCAGTGTTTGGTATAATAAATATAGGCCTCAAATTCACTGTTCCCATATGAGAATGTATTTAAATGAAGAGTTTTGTGACAAGGAGCCTTTTTAAAATTATTCCGCAGATTCTTTTCATTTATGTGCAAAGCCACCAATTTTGTACAACTTGTAATTACTATGCAAGTGGTTATGGAATTACTGTGAAACTTCAAGAGAAAACAGACAGCTTAACAACTGTTCTCAGAAGTCTGAGGCTCACCAAACAGGCTCCTTGTCCATTACTCGTAGCTCGGTGGTGCTTATTAATTATACAGGATAATAACAGTGCGGGCTTTAAAAAGTCATATTTTTAAGGATTAGTTAACTACTTACTCAAACCTGAGAGACGGCTTCTCAGCAGATCTAATGTCAAGGTCATGAGCTGTCCCCCAGCTCCTGCTCTCATCCCTCTTCTCCATGGTGTTCTGACAAGGAAAAGGTCACAAAACACGCAGGTTTACAAGGTTTCTTTGCAGGGAGGGGTTGCCCTATGAAACCAGTGTCAGTACCAGTAATCATTCCTTTGATTCCTTTGCCATCGCTAATCAGACAGAAATGGTAACCATGAATAAAAAGGGTGACGGAAAAGTGGAATTTCAACCTCTTAAAGAGTTTTTTTTCCCTCTTACTTCCTTTGTCCAAGTATTTTTCTAACCATGGATTTGCCTTCGGACATGAATAGCTGTAAATCGATACTTTCCTTAAATCCTTGGTTATCAATCTCATCTTTTTATACTTGAAAATAAAGAAACAAGTGTTCTTGGTGGAAGGAAAACGCTGATGAGTCCCATGTTGTTTGACTGAAACCCTGGCCAATGTGGCTCAGTTAGTTGGAGTGTCGTCCCCTACACTGAAAGGTCGCAGGGCACACACCCAGGCTGTGGATTCGATCCCCCGTCAGGGACAGTGCAAGAAGCAACTGATAGATGTTTCTCTCTCTCTCTCTCATCGAAATTTCTCTCTCTCTCTCTCTCTCTCTCTCTCTCTCTCTCTCTCCCTCTCTTCCTAAAATCAATTAAAAAATAAAACATTTTTTTAAATGTGTGCCCTTAAAATGTTTTTAAACAAAATGTAACTGAAAATTAGCTTTTTTGTTTTACTCTCACCATGATTTTGCAGTATAATAATAATAAATAAAAATAGGCAGTTCAGGAATTGGTCTTGTCTTTCTCCATTCTGAATGGACTAGAGCTTATTTTGAAATTTTACTGAAAATTTCCTTTTTTATTTGGAACTGGAAAAAAATCAGGTCCCTCCCCTGTTTAATTCACATGCACATACGCATACGCGCACACACAGCAGAGCAAAGAAGATGGCTATCAGGAACAAATGGAGTTCCCTTTTCCTACTTACAGTATACAGATCTTATCCAGAGACTCCAATAATGTCATCTTTTTGCCAAGACAGAAGTAAAACCCAGTGCTTCTAACTGCACTGAACACCTGCCACCTGATACCAACACAAGTGAGTAGCATAGGCTGTGTGTGATTCCTGGGTCTTGAACTTGAACAGTTTAAGGGAAAAGGAAGCATCAGATTTTCAGCACTGAAACATACTTCTGTGTTAAAGAAGCCCCATGCTTTATTTTATTTAGGGTTTCTTTTTTGTTTGTTTGTTGTAAGCATAGCCATTGAATTGTGAATTCCTCTTTCAAATGGGTTCCTATTTGTGGATGGTGGTTATAAGAAAATATAGCCCCTGATGAAATAATTTTTAAATTGATACGTGACAGTAATTTTCTTAACTAGATTTCATTTGAAAGCTTACATTATATGGTACTTTGCTGTGGTTTTTGAGAAAGTTTTCTCAGTGCTATATTAACACTTTTTGTAAAATGTCTTGGGAAACTTTTAATGTCTGGAGTAAAGTAATTGCTAGTGTCACTCTGTCTGCCGGCACATACTATATGCTGCTCCTACGCAGGACTTCAGTCCTTCCTAGCAGAGAGCAGAGAAGCGGAAGCCTGAGAATATCTTTCCACTCCCTTCCTGACCCTTAGACCCGACTGGACACCAGCCTGCATTCCCTGCTGACCTCTCATCCTCAGAGCTCACCACCCCCGAAGGGGGCGGATGGGGGTGGAAGGTAGCAGCTGAGCAGAGACTAGAAGAGGGAGTGGAATTTGGCAGCAGGTAGAAGGGATTTGTCTGCACCTATGGTTGTAAGTGCCTCTGCCCTCTTGACCCACCAACTGAGTGAAGTTCTGTATGTAAAAATCACAGATAGTCCTAGATTATAATTCAAGAACATTTTTAGCATGCTTTACTTATCTACAGCCACCTTGATAGGTCTCCAGATATGTAAACTCACAAAATTTCATGCTTAGCATATTTTAGAAATACAAGTGCTATAACTCAGAAAAGACCAGATTCGCCTGTGGGGGATATAAGCCTCACAAGCAGAAGCCATGAGTGTGGAGGTTAAGGACACAAACTTTAGAGCCAGGTGCGTGGGGTTAAATTCCAGTCTGACCACTTGCTAGATAAGTAACCTGGACCAGGTTACCTGACCTCTCCTAATAGTTTTCTCAGCTGCAAAGTGGAGATGATGTCACTACCTAAGAGGGTTGTAAAACTTAAATAAGTTAATGTTAATATAAATGCTTAGATCACGTCTAATACGTAGTTAGCTCTGTAAAAGTATTTGTTCTCATTAATATCATACTGTGCCCCCATTCTGATGTCATTTCTACATGTAGATGGCTCCATCGGATCTGGAGCCAACAGGTTCTCTTCATACTAACCCGTCACCTTTCATGTATAACTACTAGCAAATCCCTTTCCTCAGTAATTTTAAAAAGCAAAATGCAATGTTTTCTCTTCCCAGGCACAACACAGAGATACTTTCATTGAAGAACGCTATGGAAAATATAACATCAGCGATCCTTTAATGGCTCTACAGAGAGACTTTGAAACACTGAAGGAGAAAAACGATGGCGAAAAGCAGCCGGTCTGCACAAACCCACTGTCGATTCTCAAGGTGGTGATGAAGCAGTGTAAGAACATGCAGGAACGGATGCTGTCCCAGCTGGCTGCTGCCGAGAGCAGGCACCGCAAGGTGGGCTCGCCCGGGTGACGTGGGCTGCGTAAGCTCTTGGGGAGACTGTATCAATAATGCCTGATACTGCGTGTCAGCTGCCAGTTCTCACAGTAATTCAACCGGAGGTTCCCCAGGTCTCAGAAAGCCCCTTAGCTCACCGTGGAGCCAGGAGGTAGGAAGGAAAACCAGGCTGTTGCACATGTTAAGTTTGGGGAGTGTGCCAGACACGTCCAAGACAGCATTCCTTCTTGCTAGGGCACTCCAAACACTTGGCATGTTTTTTCAGCTCTCGATCATTCAAACTTTGGCAACAAACTGGGGTGTAACCAAGCTTGTAGCTGAACGGAGCATCCTGTTTGCTTACTTATGTGATAAATAGAAAGATTAACAGGTATTTGGGGAATGAGCAAGCGAGAGAGAATTTACCTTACTATAAGCCATTAAATTATTTTCATTTATTTCTAGTGTTGAGTTTCATTGCATTTTATTTCTCATGAAACCATAAACAGTACCTAGGGTTGTTTACCTTAAAACTGTTCTACCCTAGTAAGAAAGTGTGTGTGCGTGTATGTGTGTGTGTGTGTGTGTGTGAGTGTGTGTGTGTGTGTGTGTGTGTGTGTGTGTGTGTGTGTGTGTGTGTGTGTGTGTGTGTGTGTGTGTGTGTGTGTGTAGGCCTATAGCCCTAGTTCGGAAGGCAAACCTGTGCTTTCCTCATCTCATTGGAATTCGAGTGCTTATGATGTTATTCCCATTCTTGTCATTTACTGCTCAGATGTGGCCTGTAAAACATGCTTGGCTAGAATCTGCATTTTTTTTAACCATTGGTTTAGATTTATACCAACAGGGAGGACATCCGTGCAATTAATAGGAAGCAACTTATTCTGAAAAACTGAGTTAGCAGCTGCAGCTTGCTGGACCTTAGCTTACTTTTATGGTTACCTGCATTCAGGAGCCATCTGCTTAAAACACGTGACAAATTGCTTAGACTCAGGTCTCGCCCATGGGTTTTCTGCCCCTTCAGAGTCCAAATGAAAGGCCAGAGTGAGGGTTCTCAACGATGGATGGGCCTCAGATGGTTCATGGTCCCCCTAAAAATACACAGAATGCCAAAAGCTTATGCATTCTCATAGAAAATGAAAACTTCCCCATATCTTTCATTGAATTCTCAGTTGTCCAAGACCCAGGAAAGTTTAACCTCTGGTCTACTGAAATAACCTGAAGACATTTATGCCCCAACTTAAAAGGTGTCGATGGGTTTGAGTTAGTTGCTCTAAAGCAGGGGTGGGGAACATTCGCCCGCATATAAGGCACAAGAAATCATTTGGTCTGGCCCAGCCAAAGCAACCACAGGCAGGACACGAAATTCAATAAATCTAGGAGCTTTTTTCATAGCAACATAAAGTTATATTAAGTGAATTATATTAAATCAATGGTATTATAAATATCCAAATGGCCTTAGCAGAAAAGAGTTTCCCTACCTCTGCTTTAAAGTGTGTGTGTGTGTGTGTGTGTGTGTGTGTGTGTGTGTGTGTGTCTGTCTGTCTGTTGGGGGGGGGCGGTTGTTTAGAGATACATAATCCTCTAAGAAAATCTCACAGCATCCTTGTTTGGGAGGCAGGCCTTTTCCCACTTCAGACAGGAAGTAACTGACGCTGAATGCCTGGCTGGCTTTCAAGCCCACAGAAGGGGTACTTAGTATAGGGGTGACTTGTGGCTCTGGGTGATTAGGGAAAGGAAGAGGTTAGAAATAATTCCAAATTCCTTAAGACTGTATTTCAGTGTAAGAGTCTTTGAATGTTATCTATTTTAAACCAATTGCCTATCTAATCTTATGTGTTTTATCAGAGTAGAACACTGAATTTGTTGGACATCATGTAGTACCTAGAGCAGTGGTTCTCAACCTTCCTAATGCTGCGACCCTTTAATACAGTTCCTCATGTTGTGCTGACCCCCAACCATAAAATTATTTTCGTTGCTACTTCATAACTGTAATTTTGCTACTGTTATGAATCAAAATGTAAATATCTGATATGCAGGATGTATTTTCATTGTTACAAATTGAACATAATTAAAGCATAGTGATTAATCACAAAAACTATGTAACTATATATGTGTTTTCCGATGGTCTTAGGTGACCCCTGTGAAAGGGTTGTTCGACCCCCAAAGGGGTCACGACCCACAGGTTGAGAGCCGCTGACCTAGAGGCTTCTAATGAGGGTGCTTATAGTCCCAGTTTGCCCGAGGGAGTCCATTTTCTGCCCATCACCTTGGCATGCCCCCTTTGACTCTGAGAAGCGCTGTTTGAGCAGTGAATTACATGGTTACTCTGCTTATTATGAAATAGATTCCCTAGTCCACCTCTTCCCAGTCCTGCTCCTCAACATTCAGACTGCCACTTTTTCTAATAACCACTTATTTTGGTAGGTAACTTCCATATTTCTAAATAATATACGGCTCTTCACTTTATCAGTTTTAGACACTTCCTTACTTCCTTTTATTATAGATGTGGAGTTCATTATCTTACACCCCACCTCCCTTTTCTCTCCACCCTTACTTACCACCTTCCCCAAACAAACATAACCCCCTTTCCTCACCCCATTCTCCGTCACATCTGCTCTTCCCGAGCCCTGAGCCTGTCCATTCTGTGTCTCAGAGGATAAACCCTGGCTCAGGCCTGGCAGCAGATGCCTGGCTGCCAACATTCTATGTCTCAGAATAAAGGTGAGGCACAAAGAACTGTTCTGGGAAATACAGACTCTGAGGCAGGCCCCTTATTTTCTGTCCGACATCACCCCTCTCCTCTGCAGTCCCCGCCCCCTCCAGGCTCCTTAGGCAAAGCAGCTTCCTCGCCATTCTAAAGTAGTTACCCTCCTCCCGCCTCTCTCTCTTCCACGTGTCATTTAAATTCCTTGTCTGCTGACGTCACTGTGCTCCTCGGTCGCCCTGACTGGGGCTGTCTGTCTGACTCTGGACTGTCTTAGGTGCTTCACTGGATAGGCACTAGTATTCATTGTATTATAAGTGTGATCCCTTGATATTTGGAAATGACTTTTTTTAATTCTTTAAAGGTGATCCTAGACCTTGAGGAGGAAAGGCAAAGGCACGCCCAGGACACAGCAGAGGGAGATGACGTCACCTACATGCTGGAGAAGGAGAGAGAGAGGCTGACCCAACAGGTAATTCGGTGGAGGGCTTCGCGCAGCATCTGCCGGGAATAGCATTTCTCAGAGACGGTTCGGCCAGGTGTAAATTGGTGTTGCTCAAGAAAAAGGACCTTGCCCTGACTGGTTTGGCTCAGTGGTTAGAGCGTCGGCCTGCGGACTGAAAGGTCCCAGGTTCGATTCTGGTCAAGGGCATGTACCTTGGTTGTGGGCATATCCCCAGTAGGAGGTGTGCAGGAGGCAGCTGATCGATGTTTCTCTCTCATCGATGTTTCTAACTCTCTATCTCTCTCCCTTCCTCTCTGTAAAAAATCAATAAAATATATATTAAAAAAGAAAAAGAAAAAGGGCCTTGTAGACAAACAAGTCCGGGAATGACTGGATTAAACAAAGTTAAGCAGGTTTCTAACTTCAATTTCTCAGACCCTCTAGTATGCCAATGCACACTGAGTCTGCAGGAAAAAGACAGGGTATTCTGTGTCGAGCATCTGTGTTTTCATAAACTCTTTTCTTGATATAGATCACTGACTGTGAGGCTGTTGTTCCCTAGAATGCACTTTGGGGAACACTAATGTCAAACACTGACTTTTTCTGAATTAGGACTCCCAGTAGAAACACATTTTATTTGTGATTTTTTTTTAAATCCTTACTGGAGGATATTTTTTTTCCCATTGGTCTTTAGAGAGAGAGTGCAAGGAAGGGAGAAGGGGAAGAGAGAGAGAAATATCAATGTTAAAGAGACACATCGACTAGTTCCTCCCACATGGGCCCCAACTGGGATCGAACCTGCAACCGAAGTACATGCCCTTGGCTGGGAATCAAACCCGAGACCCTTTGGTCCATGGGTTGACACTCTAACCATTGAGCAACTGGCCAGGGCGAAACATTTTACATCACAGCCCAGTTATATACACACAGGCCTGAAACAAAAACATCATGAAATCATACATAATCCTTAAAATACACATGGATATTTTCTCTTCTATTTTATCTTTTAAAAGTTCTGGTTATGACTTACTCAATTGGTTTCCCCATCCATGAATGGGTCTCAACATTTGACAAATACTGACTAAAAGGGTTCCTTAACCCTTCCCTTTAAATGGGGTTGGGATAATGATTAAAACATTTGTATAAAAAGTATGATTTAAATGCAACTACTCGTATCTGCGTTTAAGCCCAGAAAGAGTTACTGCTGAAGCATTAGGTTTCTTCTCCAGCGGCTCTCATCACAGCCTCCTTCATGTGCTCTCTGTCCTCTGTCCTGATCCGCTGAACTCTCCACACCTGAAACACGATGGTGGCTCAGATTCCCACCAATAACCCTGAGGCTTCCCAAGAACTAGAGGTGCCTCCTAAGTCATCAAAGAGATTAAATTGTGCCCTGACACTTCAGAAATATCTGGTCTAAGCCAGCTGGTGTGGTTCAGTGGTTGAGTATCAACTATGAACCAGGAGGTCATGGTTCGATTCTCGATCAGGGCACATGCCCAGGTTGTGGGCTTGATCCCCAGTGGCAGGGGGAGTGCAGGAGGCAGCCAATCAGTGATTTTCACCATTGATGTTTCTATCTCTCCTTATCCCTCTCTGAAATCAATAAAAATATATTATAAAAAAAGAAATATCTGACCTAGGCACGTGACATGCATGTCATCCCGTGTGCAAGAAGAGCTAGCCCGGGCACTCTAGTTTACCTGTTCAGTGAATCTCTGTGTATTTTTACTCTAATCAAGATGTGTGGTGGTCTGTCTTCCTAGTTGGAATTTGAAAAGTCCCAAGTGAAGAAGTTTGAGAAAGAGCAGAAGAAGCTGTCGGGCCAGCTGGAGGAGGAGCGTGCCCGCCACAAGCAGCTCTCGTCCATGCTGGTGCTCGAGTGCAAGAAAGCCAGCAGCAAGGCGGCCGAGGAGGGCCAGCGGGCCGGGGAGCTGAGCCTGCAGCTGGAGAAGGAGAAGGGCCGGGTGGGTGCGCTGGAGGAAGCACTGGCGGCCGAGCGGAGGCGGGGCCTGCAGACGGAGGCCCGGGTGGAGAAGCAGCTGTCGGAGTTCGACATCGAAAGAGAACAACTGAGAGCAAAGCTGAACCGAGAAGAGAACCGGACCAAAACTCTGAAAGAGGAGATGGAAAGTTTGAAGAAGATCGTAAAGGATCTAGAAGCTTCTCACCAGCATAGTAGCTCTAATGAGCAATCAAAGAAGCCAGCGACCACGTCTAAAGGCACAGTGACTGAGCCTCCCAGGCTAGTGTCTGTATTCTGCCAGACGGAGGGTTTTCAGACAGAAAGAACCCATGGGAGCAGCGTAGCCAAGACAGCAACCACTGGGCTGCCCGGTCCCACCACTCCCAGTTACTGTTATGCAAAAGCCAATGGCCATTTTGAGCCAGAGATGCAAATGACCAAGGAGTCCGTTACAGGCAGCAGCGTGGAAAACCAGACGCCTCCACGAGAGAAGTCTGTGGGCTCGGCCCATGAGAAAGCCGTGGAGAATGGTGGGTGTGCCGGGGGAATCGAGAGCCCGGTCCCGGTGCCGAGTCAGCTGCCGTCCAGCAGTAGCTCACTGTCTCCCAGCAGCACCGCGTCCTCCTCCCTCACGTCCTCGCCTTGCTCATCACCAGTGCTAACTAAGCGCCTGTTGGGGTCCTCAGCCAGCAGCCCCGGCTACCAGTCATCCTACCAAGTAGGGATCAACCAGCGGTTCCATGCAGCTCGGCACAAATTCCAGTCCCAGGCAGATCAGGACCAGCAAGCCAGTGGTCTGCAGAGCCCTCCGTCCAGGGACCTGTCCCCCACCCTCATAGACAACTCCGCCGCCAAGCAGCTGGCCCGAAACACGGTCACTCAGGTGCTCTCCAGATTCACCAGCCAACAGGGGCCCATCAAGCCCGTCTCGCCCAACAGCTCTCCCTTCGGCACAGACTACCGAAACCTGGCC